GAGGCCAGGGCGGGTGGATCACGAGGTCAGGAGATCGAGACCATCCTGGCTAACACAGTGAAACCCCGTCTCTACTAAAAATACAATTAGCCGGGCATGGTGGCATGCACCTGTAGTCCCAGCTACTTGGGAGGCTGAGGCAGGAAAATCAGTTGAACCTGGGAGGCGGAGCTGGCAGTGAACTGATGTTGCGCCACTGTACTCCAGCCTGGGCAACAGCAGGACTCGTCTCAAAAAAAAAAAAAGAAAAAGAAGAGAAACAGGGAATGGTGGGGGTAGGACAATATTAGATGGGGTTGACGAGGAAGGCCTTTTTACCTGAATATTGAGTGAAGGAACTAAGTAAGCTAACCATTCAGAGATCTGAGTGTTTCGGAGGGAACCATAAAGACCTAGGGGTGAGAACGTTCCTCATGAGGGGAAGAGTGGCTCTGGCTAAGGTCAGAGAGTCAGGAGTCAGATAACATAGTCCTTGGAGCCATCAGATGGTCTTAAGCTGTGTTGTAAAAAGAGGACTGTGTTTTGAAAAGAGTAGCCACTGTCTGGAAAATAGATTATATGCAAGCAAGCAGGGAAATCAACAGGTGAGAGATGATGGTAGCTTGACTAAGGTAATGACAGTGGAAATGGGGAAGAATAGATGGCTTCAAAGACGTATACTTGAAGCTGGAACGACTTGTTGATGGATTGAGCAGAACTGAAGATCTGCTGAGGTCGGGGTGAAAGCAGCATTATGATAGGCATGTCGGGATTTTTGTGTTGTATGGACGCCCATCCCACGGGCTGGGCCCCTTCTACCTGAATATTTGTTATTGAAATCTTCTTTGTGCAATTACAGCTTATTTCTTGGCCCTGACTCTGAAAGATTAATTTGACAAGAGAGGGATGTGATTGATCTATTCTTCTCTCACTTCCCCTGGCATGACTTTGTTAGAATCTGACATCCCCACCTGATTTCAAGGAGATTCACAGATAACATGTTCCCTCCTTTTGAATAACAGTGGTTATAGAAACCCTTGGGCTTGCCACAGTGCCCCCTTGTTTCCTTGACTCTGACTCTAGCCCTCAAAACCTTATCTCAGCCTGTAGGTTCCTGTTTCTTTGCTGGGTGCTGACAGCAACTGTTTTCTCAGTTCAGGGTGCAACAAGGACTTGGGTTTATTGGAATGTGAGGTTTTATACAGAATCACATTTAGATAGCATTTGCCCTCTAAGTATCGGAGAACTGCTACTTGGTTGTGTGTTGATGGGCACAGAGAAAGTGCTTCCATTAAACTTTATCTGCCAGGCTTGAGTAATATGCCTTTCCTTGAACTCCCCTTGGGCCAGAGTGGACAAATTCACTGGCTGGTTAGAGAGGTTGATGAATGGGTACAAATACATGTTCAAGATGATGCATTTTTCCTTGGAAATTGCAGAAGAGATGATATATCCTTAAGCGCATCATATGAAGCACATAATGTCATCATGATCAGTAATATACAAATTGACATACGCCTTATGATATGATGCAACTGAGGATATATCATCTCTTCAGACAAAGCCAAATGGAGTTTGTTTCTTTAGAATAACCGGTCTGTATTCTTGAAAAGTATCAAGTTCATTAAAGAAAAAGAAAGGCTGAGGAACTATAACAGATTAAAGAAGACTAAAAAGATACAGCTGGTGAATACAACTTGTGATCCTGGGCCAGATAAAGGACATTGATAGGACAACTCACAATACTTGGATAAGATCTGTATATTAGATAATAGTAATATAGTTAATATTATTATAAATGTTAATTTTTTGGGTATAAGAGAATATCCTGGTTTTAGCAGACTTTTAGGAAGTATTCAGATGGAAAGGGGCATCATGTCTGCAGCTTACTCCCAAACATTTCAAGGCTGGGCACGGTGGCTCACGCCTGTAATCCCAGCACTTTGGGAGGTCAAGGCAGGCGGATCACAAGATCAAGAGATCAAGACCATCTTCATCTTGGCCAACATAGCGAAACCCCGTCTCTAAAAAAAAAAAAAAAAAATTTCAAAAAACCCAGTTCACATAGAGATATACGTGAGAGAGAGTATTAATGAATAATAAAACAAGTGTGTTAAAGTATTAACATTTAATGAATCTGGGTAAAGGATAAACAGGAAATCTATTTTTGTAACTTTTGCAAGTGTGAGATAATTGCAAAATTTTAAAAAAATGTTTTAAAAACCTCATTACGGTTTTCCTCAGACCAGAAGGCAGGTAGCACACCAATCAGCTTTAACTTTTCTTTGAAATTATACTGGTAGAAATGGATTTTAACAGTGAATGATTCAAGCAGATGGACTTACTTTTTGCTCCATTGCCTGACAGGCCTACTTTTCCTCCTACTCTTCCTGGCCTCTGATAACCACCAATCTGTTCTCTATATTCTGAAATCCACTTTTTTAAGCTCCCACTTAAGAGTGAGACTATGCCGTATTTGCCTTTCTGTGCTTGGTTTATTTTACTTAACATAATGACCTCTAGGTCCATCATGTTGCTGCAAATGGTGGAATTTCATTCTTTTTTATGGCTGAATAATATTCCATTGTGTATATATACCACATTTTCTTTATTCATAGTCCATTTACATTCAGTGTTGTTATTGATAAGTAAGGACTTGCTACTGCCATTTTGCCACTTGTTTTATGGTTGCTTTGTAACTCCTTTCTTACTGTTTTTGTAGTTTTTTTCTAGTAGTGTGGTTTAATTCATTGCTCTTTATTTTTAGTGGATTTATTACAGGTTTTTGTGCCGTGGTTATTGTGTCACTTACAAAAAACCACTTATAGATATAAGTTATTTTTTTATTTTATTTTATTTTTTATTGAGAAAAGTTTTCACCCTGTTGTCCAGGCTGGAGTGCAGTGGCGTGATCATGGCTCACTGCAGTCCTAACTTCCTGGGCTCAGGTGATCCTTCTACCTCAGCTCCCCAAGTAGCTGGGACCACAGGCACATGCTACCACACCCAGCTGATTTTTATTTTTTATTATTATTTTTAGAGATGGGGTTTTGCTATGTTTCCCAGGCTGGCCTTGAACTCCTAGGCTCAAAAGATCCTCCCTTTTTGGCTTCCCAAAGTGCTGGGATTGCAAGTGTGAGCCACTGTACTCACCCTATAACAAGTCATTTTAGGCCGGGTGCAGTGGCTCACACCTGTAATCCCAGCGCTTTGGGAGGCTGAGGCAGGCAGATCACGAGGTCAAGAGATCAAGACCATCCTGGCCAATGTGGTGAAACCCCGTCTCTATAAAAATAAATAAATAAATAAACCAACTCATTTTAAGAGATGATAACTTTTTAAAAACTGAGACAGGATCTTGCTCTGTCCCCCAGCATGGAACGCAATGGTGTATCCATGGCTCACCGCAGCCTTGATCTCCTGGGCTCAAGTGCTGCTCCTACCTTAGCCTCCTGAGCAGCTGGGACTACAGGCATGTGCCACCATGCCTAGCTAATTTTTTGTGTTTTTTGTAGAGATAGGATCTTACTATGTTGCCCAGGCTGGTCTTGAACTCCAAAAGAATAGAAATGAACAAACAAAAAACCATAAAAACATTCTACACTTTCATTCTGTTCTGCATACATTTTAACTTTTTGTTGTCTCAATTTACATATTTTTATATTGCTTTTTTTTCTTTTTTCTTTTTTGAGGTGGAGTCTTGCTGTGTCACCCAGGCTGGAGTGCAGTGGCATGATCTTGGCTCACTGCAACCTTTGCCTCCTGGGTTCGAGCGATTCTCCTGCCTCAGTTTCCTAAGTAGCTGGGATTACAGGTACATGCCACCATGCCTGGCTGATTTTTGTATTTTTAGTAGAGACAGGTTTTCACCATGTTGGCCAGGCTGGTCTTGAACTCCTGGCCTCAAGTGATCTGCCTGCCTCAGCCTCCCAAAGTGCTGGGATTACAGATGTGAGCCACTGCTCCCACCCTTGTTTGCCTATTTCTTAAGAGGTTGGTGTAGCTGTTACTGTTTTTGACAAGTTTGTCTCTTGGGCGTCATACTAGAGCTATGATTAGATTGCAAACTATTCTGGGTTTGTCCACTTACCTAATTTTACGAGTGGATCTTATACCTTCAAATGTTTTCTTTTTGAATGTTAGTTTTTTTACCCGCTTCAAACTGAAGAGCTCCCTTTAGCATTACTTCTAAGAAGTGCCTGGTGGTATTGAATTCTTCCAGCTTTTGTTTATCTGGGAAAGACTTTATCTCTCATATTTGAAGGGTAGTTTTGATGGATACAGTATTCTTGGATGGCAGTTTCTTTCAGCACTATGAAATGTTACACTCCCTCACTTGGATAATTTCTGAGGAGAATTTTGTTGCCAGATGAATTGGAGCTCCGTAATATGTATTTGCTCCTTTTCTCTTGCTGCTTTTAAAATCTTCTATTTGCCCTTGAACCTTGAGAGGTTTAATTATTATATGCCTAGGGGTAGTCTTATTTGGGTTGAATCTGTTTAGTGTTCTCTGACCTATCTGAGCTTGGATATATGTATCTTTCTCAAGTTTTAGAAATTTTTCTGTTATTTCTTTTTTTTTTTTTTTCCCATGACAGAGTCTCACTCTTTTGCCCAGTCTGGAGTGCAATGGCACTATCTCGGCTCACTGCAATCTCCACCTCCTGGGTTCAAGTGATTCTCCTGCCTCAGCCTCCCAAGTAGCTGGGATCACAGGCGTCCACCACTATACCTGGCTAATTTTCGTCTTTTTGGTAGAGATGGGGTTTTACCATGTTGGTCAGGCTGGTCTTGAGCTCCAGACCTCAAATGATCTGCCCACCTTGACCTCCCAAAGTGCTGGGATTACAAGTGTGAACCATGCCCAGCCTGTTATTTCTTTTAGTAAGCCACCCCTGCCTCTTGTTTAGTTCCCTCTTGAATACTAATAATTGTTAGATTTGGTCTTTTGAGGTAGTTTTCTGTATCTTATAGGTTATTTTTGTTGCTTTTCATTCTGTTTTCTTTGTTCTTCTCTATAGTTTCAAATAGACTGTCTTCAATTGAGCTCACTAATACTTTCCTCTGCTTGATCTATTGTGTAGTTAAGAGCCTCTAGTAAATTTTTCAGGTAAGCAAATTTATTTATCAGTTCCAAGATTTGTTTAAAAATTATTATTAATCTCTTTGTTACATTTCTCTGATAAATTTCTGAATTGCTTTTCTGTGTTATCTTGGAGATCACCAAGTTTCCATAAAACTGCTATTTTGAGTTCCTCGTTAGAGCGAGCGCATGTGTCACTGTGTCAGTCAGTCACTGTTTTCTTGCTTTGTCCATTTCTTGCTTTGTCATAGTTCTCTGCTGCTGTTTCTTGTGGATATATGTATATGTCTTTACATTGAAGGATTAGTTATTTATTCTATTCTTCTCTGTCTGGCTTATTTTGTTTATTATTGAATATGTTTGTTTAGAGATTCTTTGTAACTTAACCTGTTGACTTTTTAAAAAACTCACTAGGTCACTACCTCTTCTTCAACACTAGATGGTGTCTTAGACCCAGGTTTGTCTTGGCTTTAAAGCAGTGGTCCCCATCCTTTTTGGTGTTAGTGACCAGTTTTGTGGAAGAAAATTTTTCCACTGACTGGGGTGGATGGATGGGTGGGGGATGGTTTCGGGATGATTCAAGCACATTAAATTTATTGTGCACTTTATTTCTGTTATTACATTGTAATATATAATAAAATAATTATACAACTCACCATACGGTGGAATCTGTGGAACATAGCTCCTATAGAGAGTAGTGTTGCTGAACAGCCTCTCTGATTTGGTATCTCCTTTGGCTGAGTTAACAGAGCAGGGAGTCCAGGGCTGAGTATGGTAGTCCCACCCAACCCCTTTGTTTCTGGTTGTCTTCAGGGATATTTTTTGAGACAGAATTTTGCTCTTGTTGCCCAGGATGGAGTGCAATGGCGTGATCTCGGCTCACTGCAGCCTCCGCCTCCCAGGTTCAAGCGATGCTCATGCCTCAGCCTCCTGAGTAGCTGGGGTTATGGGTGCCTACCACCACGCCCAGCTAATTTTTTGTATTTTTGGTAGAGACGGGGTTTTGCCATGTTGGCCAGGCTGGTGTCGGGTTCCTGCCTCAGCCTCCCAAAGTGCTGGGATTACAGGTGTGAGCCCCTGTGCCCCGCCTGGTTGTGTATCTTGATCTCTTTTTCCAGTATAGAAATTGTGAGTTGGGGGCAGATTTTCTGTGTCCTTGGTCCCAGGAAGATTGAGGGAGGGGATGCTGTAGATGTGGAAGTCCACTCTTCTTACTGCCTTGTCAGAATTTTTTCCCTTCTCTGTGGTCCTAGGAACTGTCTCCTCTTCATATTTGAGTTCTGGCATTTTGCTGGTGATAATCTTGATGCTGTGTGTTTATATTTGGTTTTGTGTGAGGCGAGTGACCTCAGCTTGCTTCTACACTGCCATTTTGGAACCAGAAGTCTCTATTCCTAGATATTTTTTTATTTTTGATGCTATTGTGAATGGAATTGTATATTTCATTTTTACATGTTTGTTGCTAATATGTAGGAATACAACTGACTTTCATATATTTATTGTGTATTCTGTGATCTTACTAAACTTGCTTATTTGTTCTATTAGGATTTTTAATTTGATATGTATTTTAGGATTTTCTTTTCTCTTTTTTTTTCATCTTTCTTTTTTTTTTTTTAAAGACAGGGTCTTGTTCTGTCACCCAGGCTGGAGTGCAGTGGTGCAATCATGGCTCATTGCAGCCTCAATCTCCCAGGCTCAAGTGATCCTCTCACTTCAGCCTCCTAAGTAGCTGGGGCTACGGGCTTGTGCTAATTTTAAAAATTTTTTGTAGAGATCATGACTCCCTATATTGCTCAGGCTGTTCTCAAATTCATGGTCTCAAATGGTCTTTCTATTTAAGCTTCCCAAAATATTAGGATTACAGATGTGAGCCAACGTGCCCAGCTGGGATTTTCTATGTACGAGATCATATGTCCTATAAATAATGACAGTTTTACCTCTTCCTTTCCAATCTTTATATCTTTGATTTCCTTTTCTTGCTGTGTCATACCGCTTAGAATTTCTAGTATAGACTCTAATAGAAATGGAGGCGGGCGCAGTGGCTCACGCCCGTAATTAAGCCAGACGCTGGTGACTCACGCCTGTAATCCCAGCACTTTGGGGGGCTGAGGTGGGCGGATCACCTGAGGTTGGGAGTTCGAGACCAGCCTGACCAACATGAAGAAAGCCCATCTCTATTAAAAATACAAAAAAATTAGCCGGGCTTGGTGGTGCGTGCCTGTAGTCCCAGCTACTTGGGAGGCTGAGGCAGAAGAATTGCTTGAACCCGGAAGATGGAGGTTGCAGTGAGCCAAGATCATGCCACTCCACTCCAGCCTGGGTGACAGAGCAAGACTCCATCTCAAAAATAAAATAAAATAAAAAGGAGAGAGTAGACATCCTTGTCTTGTTCCCAATCTTAGAGGAAAAGCAGCTCATGATTCACTATTAAGTATGATGTTAGCTGTATTTATGGCCTTTTGACATGTCTCTATCAAATTTTGACCACTTTCTTACTTTTTGGCAGCACAAAATATTCCAGGCCCATCTGCTGCTCTCCCTGCCCCAATCCTGGAATCAGCCATTTTTCAAGGAGCTCTGGCTGCTTCTACTAACAGATGGCATTTAAAATAGTTTCTGCTGCATATGGTGGCTCATGTTTATAATCCCAGAGCTTTGGGAGGCCACGGCAGGAGGATCAGTTTAGGTGAAGAGTTTGAGACCAGCTTGGGCAACATAGTGGAACTCTGTTGCTTTAAAAATAAAATAAAGTAAAAAATTAGCTAGGCATGGTGGTGTATACCTATATTCCTAGCTACTCAGGAGGCTGAAGTGGGAGAATCATTTGAGCCCAAGAGTTCTGGGCTGCATTGAGTTATGATTGTACCATTGCATTCCAGCCTTGGTGACAGAGGGAGACCTTGAGGTCAGGAGTTGGAGACCAGCCTAGCCAACATAGTGAAACCCTGTCTGTACTAAAAATATAGACATTGGCCAGGCGTGGTGGCAGGTGCCTATAATCCCAGCTACTCAAGAGGCTGAGGCAGGAGAATCACCTGAGTGCAGAAGGCTGAGGATCATGCCACTGCACTCCAGCCTGGGTGACAGAGTGAGACTCTGTCTCAAAAAAAAAAAAAAAGAAATTTCACAAAAGCTCCCACATAACAAGACTGTTAGCTTTTACAAAAGAACATTGCTTGTCTTAGCTGAAGTTTTGTAGTGGAGTAATTGTTGCCTATTCCTTTTATTTTTCTGCCTTCATCCTAGCTTATGAAGGGGCAGAGCGGAAATAGATCATTTGGTGCCAGTAGGAATGAGAGTTATAACGACCATGCTATGCTGCAAATGTTTTCTGGGGGCTGCTGTGCTTTTATATGCTTTATGTGAATTTTTAAACTTGATCTCCCACAACTACTCAATGGGGGTATGATACTTCCTCTCTCCTGTCTTTCCCTGAACATTCCGGCTGTGTGGTTTCAGAGTTGCATATGATTCACTACTGATCAGTGCTCTGATGGTCATGAGTCACCACGAGGCAGTAGCTGCCGATGCAGCCTGACTGTGAGGAGGACATAGATTGAGAAACTTAGCTGAAATAGGCTTGTTTTCTTCTAAATTTGAACTCTGCAGGCTATAGCTTCGTGTTTATACCCTGTTTGCCCCTTAAGCCCTTCTGTTCCCTAGGGATCATGTGTAGGAACAAGAAACACAGTAGATCATTGCTCCATAAAATGTTAGATTATTCAAAATATTATTTTTCAGGTGAGGTCAATTTGTTGGCCCCTAAAGTAAGTTCCTTACAAGCTGCTGATTGGAGGGTCAGCTGATGGTGGATCCTTTGGACTTAGTAACAGAGAGTAAGTATGAATGCATTGAGCTATCTTTAAGTAGTATAAATATGTAGTTAATCCTTTGTAATTTACATAGTGAGCAATGACTCTTTATAAGTTTAGATTTGTTTTAAGTTGGGAGTTTTTGAAATGGGCTTCCATTAGTGGCCAGTACATGACCTTCTACATATATAAATACCTTTTCTCCCGTTCTCTGTGTTTTGTTGTTTCTTCCTAAAATACCTCCTGGGAGATGGACAGTCTGCCTTTTGGATCCTAGAGGCACACATATACACAAAGTGTGTATTATCACAATAAACTTAGAAGTATAAGGGACACTGGGAGAAAGGTCTCCCAGACATCTCAGGAGCCCAGAGTATATCACAGGGAACGGGTTTGATGACTTTTCTGAAAATTGCCCTCTGAGTATGTGCTGTCTGTGCGGTCTAGGTCCCAGACACTATTTACATCTCTGGACTTTGACTCTATGGTGGAACTCACTGTCCTGGGAATGTTAGCTTTTGAAACAAGGTTCTCAATTCCTTCACTTCTTATATTTTGGGCCATCAGAAGTTTTTTTTTTTTTTTTTGAGATGGAGTCTCACTTTGTCGCCAGGCTGGAGTGCTGTGGCACAATTTTGGCTCCCTGCTACCTCTACCTCCTGGGTTCAAGCGATTCTCCTGCCTCAACCTCCTGAGTAGCTGGGATTACAGGCACCCACCACCATGCTGAGCTAATTTTTGTATTTTTAGTAGAGATGGGTTTCAGCGTCTTGGCCAGGCTGGTCTCAAACTCCTGACCTTGTGATCCACTCACCTCAGCCTCCCAAAGTGCTAGGATTACAGGTGTGAGCCACCACACCCAGCAGAAGCTTTTTAAAGTTTGTCACTTGCAGTCCTATAGGGTAGTGGGCAGCATGCTGGAAAAGATGACCTGTGGCAGTGATTGGGAGTCTGGGACCCGGGCTGCCTGAATGTTTTAGTCCTCTGCTTCCCTATCATTTGAGGTTTTGATTTCATCAGGTATCTCTATAAGGAGAAGGAAAGAAGTTGCTTTTAGTGACCATCATTTCCTTGTCTTAGTGTGACACTACTTCTCAATCACAAACACTGAAACTACGTTGGAGCATTTGTATGTGTTACTGTTGTAAGTGATACTGTTCACTCTGGCATTCTTGAAGTTATTCTCTGCAGAGTATCTGATGCAACAAATTTGTCTTTGCTTGGCAAAAGACAAGTGCTCTTTTTTTTTGAGATGGAGTTTCACTCTTGTTGCCCAGGCTGGAGTGCAATGGCGCTATCTTGGCCCACCGCAACCTCCACCGCTCGGGTTCAAGCGATTCTCCTGCCCCAGGCTCCCGAGTAGCTGAGATTACAGGCATGCACCACCACGCCTGGCTAATTTTGTATTTTCAGTAGAGATTGGGTTTTTCCTTGGTGGTCAGGCTGGTCTCAAACTCCCGACCTCAGGTGATCCACCTGCCTCGGCCTCCCAAAGTGCTGGGATTACAGGCATGAGCCATTGCAACCCTGGATATCTCTTACTAGCTTTGGAGCTATCTCCCAGAAAGAGAATTACAGAAACATCCTCTCACCTGCTTGGCCCTTGAGACCAGACATATTTCTTTAGGAAGACAGGTGGCCTTTCTCCAACTTGCTATACTACACATCAGACTGTATTAGTCTGTTCTCATACTGTATTAAAGAAATACCTGCAACTAAAGAAAAGAGGTTTAATTGGCTCATGGTTCTGAAGGCCGTACGGTTAGCATGGCTGTGGAGGCCTCAGGAGACTTTGAGTTGTGGCAGAAGAGGAAGCAGTCATGTCTTCACGTGGCCGGAGCAGGAGCGAGGCAAGGGGGAGGCACTACACACTTTTAAACAACCAGATCTCATGAGAACTCACAGCAAGGAGGAAATCCACCTCCACTATCCAGTCACCTCCTACCAGTCCAGGTCCCTCCTCCAACAGTGGGGATTACAACTCAACGTGATATTTGTTGGGGACACAAATGCAAACCGTATCAAGAACTATGAGAGGAGACAAGAATTAGGAAGTGACCACCGCAGAGATATGAGATCTGGAACCCCTTAGTCAGAGAGAAGAGAATCCACTCTACTCTAGTACCTGCCCAGATGTGGTGTTGAACACTTTGTCTGGGAGCAGGCCACTTGGAGCTTCAGAGGAGGGTAGGTGTGTATCCTTGGCCTCCCTCTTCCTCTTCTGGATTAAAAGCCAAGCCCGCTGGGTGTTGGGCTACTTGTGTTCACTGAGGGCTCATGGGGTGTGATGTAGCAAGGCAAACATTGAGCAGTGTGTGAAAAGGAATTGTTGTGCAGTGAGTGCCCGTGGCTATAACGGAGAGTGGGATTGGCGGTGGTGTTGATGAGAAGGCGGTGATGTGCTCTTAGGCCCTTTATCCACAAAGGGCCTTGGCATAAACATGGAGAAGTGTTTCCAACCTGGCTTTTGTCTTGTACCTAGAGATTAGAGATAATAGAGGGGATGGAGTCTAAATATGTGTTTCATTCCATTTAATAGGCATTGTAGATTCAGATGGATTTGAGTTTTAATCTAGGCACTGCTACTTATTGGTTATTTAATTATAGACAAGTTATTTTTCTGAGTCTTGGATTCATCATCAGTGAACTGAATGTAAGGTTTTTGTTGGGATTAAATGAGGTAATATGGATAAAATGCCTAGCATGGCACCAGACATTCATTAGGTGCCCAAACCAAGTGTCGGTTTGTTTCCCCTTCATTTTCTATGCTTTTCCAGTTTGTTTACTCAACAGAATATTGAGCACTGCCTGTGCGACAGTCACTGTGTGGGGGGATCAGCTGGAGTAGAATGTGCTCCTTGCTCCGAGTCTGACCAGTTAGTTCATTATTGGAGCTAACGTTTTAGGAGCATTGATGGTGGCATGCACAGAGGTGAGGCATCCTATTCAAACTCAGGAGTTGGGAAAGACTGCCTAGGTCATGTTTCAGCTGATTTTTTTAAGTTAGATGAAGAAGGAAGGGCTCCAGAGACCAGCACTTATAAGGGAAGGATGATCTGAGGTAGTGTCATGCTCATGGGAATCAGTAGTGGGGCTGTTTTTCCAGGGTAGCAGACTGAGTTTTCATTTCCATAGGCATTCTCCTACCACTTTGGTATGTCTGTTGTGTTGCATTGGTGGGGCAAGATGTGGATTCCCGAAAAAGGATGAAATGAGGGGATTGTGAATATGTTGAGTGTATATAATACACATGCATGCATGTGTGTAGTCTTGTAAAGTGATCGGCAGGATTTGATTTTTCCCTTCGTCTCTATGCTTCTGTACCATAAGTGCACGCTGTAACTGTTCCCAGCACGATATTTCTATAGTTTGGACTTGTGTGGTGGTCCATTTTCTGTCACCTCATTTTGAGATAACTGGCCTCAAAATCTAGTTTTAGCATTTATGCTGTTTTTAGCCCACTATCATTTTGAATATTGGCAGTGCTCCGTTGTGATTTTTTTTGTACTCTCCTTGAGAAAGAGTCCATGTAGGTCAGCCTTTGCAGGTAAAGAGGGCAACATCCCATGGCTTCTGCTGTGTGTTTGTTGGTTTTCATTTGGACAATGAATGTAGACAGGAATCTTAGGTCTTCCTTGGCCATTACTCTGTTAATCAGAATACAAGATGCTCTCCCCATTTTTGTGTTTTAAATATAACTTAAGCAAAAAACAAAAACAAAACAAAAACAAAACAACAAAACCCCCTCTCCTAGGCTGGGTTCAGTGGTTCATGCTGTTCATGCTTATAATCCCAGTTTATTGGGAGGCTGAGATGGGAGGATCACTTGAGGCCGGGAGTCGAGACCAGCCTGGGCAGCATAGTGAGATACCCCCACTCCCTATCTTAACAAAAAAATAAAAGAATTAGCCTGGTGTGGTGGTACATGCCTGTAGTCCCAGCTACTTGGGAGGCCGAAGGGGGATTTGAGCTCAGGAGTCTAAGGCGCATGTGAGCCATGTTTGCACCACTGCATTCCATTTTGGGTAACAGAGCAAGACCCTATCTCAAAACAAAACAAAACCTCTCTGCTAATTCCTTCCCTCTAGCTACTCTGAAAACACTTGATGAGGATATCAGGATTCCATTCAGAATTATTCCAGACAAATGACTTTTTTTAAAAAAAATGAATGAGAGGTTCTTATGTCGCCCAGTCTGGCCTGGAATGCATAGCCTTGCCTCCTCAAGCGCCAGGACAGCTGGCCTGAGCCACCGCGGACAGGGCTCTGTCACTCAGGCTTGGAGTGCAGTGGTGCTGCTTCAGCTTGTCTACCTTCTGTGCTTAAGATTTCTCATGCCTCAGCTTCCCAAGTAGCTGGGACCACAGGCATGTACCGCCACCACACCTGGCTGATTTTTGTATTTTTTGTAGGGGTTTTGCCATGTTTCCCAGTCTGGTCTCAAACTCCTGAGCTCAAGTGATCTGCCCGCCTGGGCCTCCCAAAGTGCTGGGATTACAGGTGTAAGCCACTGCGCCTGGCCACACATGACTACTTACAGTTTTTGTTATTTTCCCCCCGGATGCTGCCGTGAAAGTAGGCCCACCGTTCCCTACAGTTGTGAAAATTGGAGAATATTTTGTGAATTTGATTTAGAAAGTGAGAGACCATGCTGAGCAGACAGTTTGAGACCCAGAAGGCTGGCTTAGAGGTTTTGTATTAAAGGAAACACTGATTGAGAAGACATAAGAGATAGGCTCTCCCTCCCTGAGATCAGCCCAAACTTAAGCCTGGGCCTTGGAGGAAAGAAAGCTTCTCTCTTCTTCTAACCTCTCTCTTCTGCTCCCTGAACTCTCCTGTGCCAGTATGGTTGCTGGAAATAAAGTCACTTTAAGTAAAAATAATGCTGGCATTGAGTTCAATTTTCTTTCTTCTTTTTCCCACCAGCACAGAGGATGGAATTTAAGTCTGTATAGTTAGCAAGAGATGAAATTGCTGTCTCAGCTCCAGAATAAACTCCAGGATCAGCAAGGGAATTCTGTTCTCCTGTCTGAACTTGTCCTACTTAATCATGAAAAGCAGAATAAAATCAGAGGCAGCTGAGTTGATTTAGGGAGCTGCAGATGTAAAATGAGTTTTTCAGATCAGTTTTTTTTTTGTTGTTTTTTGTTTTTTGTTTTTTTTGAGATGGGGTCTCAATCTGTTGCCCAGGCTGGAGTACAGTGACACCGTCTTGGCTCACTGCAACCTCCGCCTCCCAGGCTCAAGTGATCCTCCCACCTCAGCCTCCTCAGTAGCTGGGACTACAGGTGGACGCCACCATGCCTAGCTAATTTATTTGTAGTGACAGAGTTTTACCGTGTTGGCCAGGTTGGTCTTGAACTCCTGGGCTCAGGCTGGGATTATAGGTATGAGCTGCCACACCTGGCCTCAGATAATCTTTAATCTTTCAGAATTGATGGATGAAGAGGAAGATATTGACTGCTCTCTCTCACTTCAGATTAGCTTTAATCCTAGCCACACTGGTTTTGCGTGAGGGAAGGTAGCCCCTGTCATGGAAACCTGTGGGCAGTGAGACAGAAAGGTGTATCTTTTTTTTGGAGAAAGAGGAAAGCTTTCTAAGTGAGAGAGTGGGGGCTCATGAGCAGCCACACAGTGATAGTGGCACCTCAGTGTCTTAGTCCTTGATGAAGCCAGCTTTTATCACATGAGGGCAGTAGGAAGACCACTGAAAACTCCCTGGAAATCTAGTATTCTCCCAAGGCCCCAAATGACGACCAAGACTGGTTGCCCAAAAATGCTGACGTGGGACTGTACCGCTCCCCTGAGGACCGCTGTGGCATGGCGTCTGTCCTCCTGGTGCTGTAACATTTCCTATCATTTTTCTCCCCTTCAGACTGACAGACTTCAGGATGCAGCTGCTACTGCTGGAGGTGTGTGGCACCTTACCTGGGCCAGGTCATGAGATCGTGTGGCCATGATGTGGGCCCCTCATGGCCTCAGCAGGAACGGAGCACTACAGCATTGGCCTCCGCCAGAGAAACAGCTTCAAGCAGAGTGGTCCCCCAGAGACAGTGCCTGCCGCGCCACCTGAGAAACCCTCTGAGGGCAAAGTCTGGTCTCAGGCCCATCAGCAAGTGAAGCCAATCTGGAAGCTGGAGAAGAAGCAGGTGGAGACACTGTCAGCAGGGTTGGGCCCAGGCCTCCTGGGCATCCCCCCCAAGCCAGCATATTTCTTTTGCCCCAGCACTTTATGTAGCTCTGGGACCACAGCTGTCATTGCAGGCCACAGCAGCTCCTGTTACCTACACTCTCTCCCAGATTTGTTCAACAGCACCCTGCTATACCGCCGCTCCAGCTCTCGGCACAAACCGTACCAGCAGCTGGAGTCTTTCTGCTTGCGTTCAAGCCCATCAGAAAAAAGCCCTTTTTCTCTCCCTCAAAAGAGCCTCCCTGTCAGTCTCACTGCCAATAAGGCCACTTCTTCCATGGTCTTCCCCATGGCCTCCTCATCCACAGAACCATACCTCTCCTTGGCCGCGGCTGGGGAAAACCCTTCAGGGAAGAGCCTGGCCTCTGCCATCTCAGGGAAGATCTCATCTCCACTGTCTTCCTCCTATAAGCCCATGCTGAATAATAATTCCTTCATGCGGCCAAATAGCACGAAAGTGCCTTTATCACAGACCACAGAGGGCCTGAAGCCAGTATCCTCACCCAAGGTCCAACCCATCTCTTGGCATCATTCAGGGGGTACTGGAGACTGTGTACTGCAGCCTGTTGACCATAAGGTGCCCAAAAGCATTGGCACTTTCCTAGCTGATGCCAGTGCCCATATCGCCTTGTTTACCCCTAGCTCTGACGACACATCCGCCACCAGTGTTGCCTCTTCCTGGTATAACCGGAATAACTTAGCCATGAGGGCAGAGCCACATTCCCGTAGTCTGGATGACAGCTCTGATTCCCAGGCTCCAACTAAAGAGATTCGGTTCACTGAGGCTGTGAGAAAGTTGACCGCAAGAGGCTTTGAGAAGATGCCAAGGCAAGGCTGCCAGTTTGAACAGTCTAGTTTCCTGAACCCCAGCTTTCAGTGGAACCTCAACAGGAGCAGGCGGTGGAAATCCCCTGCGGTCAATCAGCAGTTTCCTCAGGAGGATGCTGGATCAGTCAGTGGGGTCCTCCCTGGTTCCTCGGATACCTTGGGGTTGGACAATACAGTCTTCTGTACCAAACGCATCAGCATTCACCTCCTTGCCTCACATGCCAATGGGCTCAATCACAGCCCTGCCTGTGAATCTGTAACTGACCCCCCAGCATTTGGAGAAGGCAAAGCTCCAGGTCCCCCTTCTCCTCAAACCCTTGGCATAGCCAACGTGGCCACTCGCCTCTCTTCCATCCAGCTGGGCCAGTCTGAGAAGGAGAGACCCGAGGAGGCCAGGGAGCTGGACTCATCTGGTAGGGATAGTAGGTAAGTTGGAGAATGTTTTTGCTTCATTTGGAGCGGTAGAATGGATATACCATAATTTGGGGTGGCACTGACCCTGTACCTCTGAAGGCTGGGTTTGTTTTTTAGCCCGAGGATTTTTGGTTTTCACTTTAGGGCAAGGGTTGGGAAACTATAGCTTACAGACCGAATCTTGCTTATCGCCGGCTTTTGTAAATATTATTATTGGAATGCAGCCTTGTCCACTGATTTACAGTTGTCTGTGGCTGCTTTCTTGTTACAGTGGTAGAGCTGAGTAGTTGTGACAACCGACTGGCCTGCAAACAAAAATATGTACTCTCTGGTCCTTTAGAGAAAAGAGTTTGCCAACCCCAATTTTAAGTGAAAATGATGAGAGAATTAAGAATTATGAACACCAAGTGTTGAAGCCTGTGACTTTCCTACTTTTTCCAAACCAGGTTTTCAGTCATTCTTGGCATGATAGCTGTTTATAGTTAGGAGATACACATAGTTGGCTCCTTCTCTTATGTTTTGTTATTTTCCGGGAAACTTGATCCACTGAGGCCATTTTTTGAGTTCCCAGAGAGTGGCCTAGGGACATTTCCAGTCAATTACCAGATATCCATTCATGGTTTTTTGGGTGTAGAATTTTGTACTTATATGCTATGAGGGACATCAAAGAAAATGGAAGACATAGTGCCTTTTTGCAGAATGGAAGATGTAAGGTTGAGGAGCTATGCCTAGACCTAAGCTTTGAAGACAAGAGAAATGAGTTGTGAGGTCCAGGCAAGAGGTAGCAGATTGGTAATGGAGAAGGGACAAATACTGGGAGACGATAAAGGATTGAGAATCAAACTGTGACCTCTTTGATGGAGTTGACTAGGCTAGGGTCATGATTCTTTCTTTTAGTTCAGCTACTGACCTCCAGCCAGACCAGACTGAGACTGAAGATACAGAAGAAGAACTAGTAGATGGTTTGGAAGACTGTTGTAGCCATGATGAGAATGAAGAGGAGGAGGGTGAGTAGGGAACCCTTTTACTTCAAACTAGGTGTTGGTTATGACCTGGGTGGGCAGGGGACTAACAATTATGTACTAGGTCCTTGACTCACATTACCTACATCTTTCAATTGTTTTGGGGGTCTTAAAGGGGTAGTACCTTCTAGAGGACTTTGGTCCCTAGTCCTCCTGTCCCCATGGTCTTACCTTCTCCCTGCTTTTGTTGAGGAAGGCAGTGCAAGGCCACGGAGTGGTGCTTGTGGCTCCCCAAGAAGGGTTGAGCGTGGGATATTCAAGGAAGAGCTGTCCAGGCTTGGTGAGTTTGTGCTGCAGCCTCTTCTAGTCAGAATTCCTCTGTTCTTCCTTCCCCTAGGAGACTCAGAGTGCTCCTCATTAAGTGCAGTCTCCCGCAGCGAATCGGTGGCTGTGATCTCTCGGTAAGTGTGGCTGTATAGCTCATTGTTAGATGCTCATCTTTTGTCTCTTCAAGATTATAAAGAGATTAACCACCCAAGTCGTTAATGACCTTGAGAACTCTAATGCATTTTAACCAAATTTTTATGTTTATGACTTTAATTTTTGAACAGGGAGTAATGGGGGGTGGCCAGAAGCACATCTCATCAGTGTGGCTTAAAAACAGTATCATGGACCACGCCTGTAATCCCAGCACTTTCAGAGGCTGAGATGGGCTGATCACCTGAGATCAGGAGTTCGAGAACAGCCTGGCCAACATGATGAAACCCTGTCTCTACTAAAAAATATAAAAATTAGCCAAGTGTGGTGGTGTACGCCTGTAATCCCAGCTGCTTGGGAGACTGAGGGATGAGAATCACTTGAACCTGGGAGGCAGAGGTTGCAGTGAGCCAGGATCACACTGCTGCACTCCAGCCTCGGTGACAGAGTGAGACTCTGTCTCAAAAACAAAACAAGAACAACAACAACAAAAAGATAGTATCATGGGCTGGGCACAGTGGCTTAATGCCTGTGACCCTAACACTTTGGGAGGCTAAGACGGGTAGATCACTTGAGGTCAGGAGTTAGAGACCAGGCTGGCCAACATGGTGAAACTCCATCTCTACTAAAAATAGAAACAATTGGGCCGGACGCGGTGGCTCACGCCTGTAATCCCAGCACTTTGGGAGGCCGAGGCGGGTGGATCACGAGGTCAAGAGATCGAGACCATCCTGGTCAACATGGTGAAACCCCGTCTCTACTAAAACTACAAAAAATTAGCTGGGCATGGTGGCACGTGCCTGTAATCCCAGCTACTCAGGAGGCTGAGGCAGGAGAATTGCCTGAACCCAGGAGACGGAGGTTGCAGTGAGCCGAGATCGCGCCATTGCACTCCAGCCTGGGCGACAAGAGTGAAACTCCGTCTCAAAAAAAAAAAAAAAAAAAAAAAAAATAGAAACAATTAGCTGGGTGTGGTGGCACATGCCTGTAATCCTTGGCCTCCCAAGGATTGTGCCACCACACCCAGCCACTGCAGCTGGCCCTAATTTTTAATTAAAACCCAGCTGTAGGCCAGGCGTGGTAGCTCAGGCCTGTAATCCCAGCACTTTGGGTGGCCAAGGCAGGCCGATCACCTGAAGTCAGGAGTTCGAGACCAGCCTGACCAACATGATGAAATCCCATCTCTACTAAATACAAAAAATTAGCAAGGCATGGTGTTGCATGCCTGTAGTCCCAGTTACTTGGGAGGCTGAGGCAGAATTGCTTGAACCCAGGAGGTGGAGGTTGCTGTGAGCGCAGATTGCGCCAATTGCACTCCAGCCTGGGCAACAAGAGTGAAAATCTGTCTCAAACAAAAACAAAAACCCAACAAACAAAAAACCTAGCTGTATATCATCAGGCTTGACCAACATATGGAGCTCTCAGAGTTGGGTTGCTTCTCTGTGCATCAGCCTTCCTTAGATGAAGCTAAGAAGAAAAGGAGCCTTCTCTGCCTTGTCTAGTATGGACAAGACAGGCTGCATCTTTGTGTAATGTGATGGTGTGGCAGCAGCACTCCAGTTTTAGAGCCCCTAACCTGTAAGCTGTAGGCAGAGCTGTTTGGAAAGTGAGAGAGAGAACTGGGATTCTCTATGAAGGTAGATAGAAATCCCATCACAAGTACCCTGAGTCTGATGCATAAATTGTCACCTTGAGCCTAGCCCATCCTCCTTCCAGAAAAGCAAAACTACTTCAGGTTATATATGTTGGATGTTAATTAAGTACTTCCACTCTTCATAAGAGAAAGATATTTGACATGTAATTGATTTGGAGTCCTTCCTTTTCTACACTTAAGGACCTACTTCAGGACAGCTATGTAAGCCCTTAAGCCTTCCTGATATATAAGATAAAAATCACAAAAGGTGTTTGTGAATCATTTGCTCATTAATTAATTAGCTTCTATAAATTGCACATAACTTCTTATCTATATGAGGCTTAAACATAATTTTCAAGAAAATGGAAATATATTTTTTCATTTTTTAGAGTCAGAGGCTTGTTCTGTTGCCCAGGCCAGAGTACAGTGGCTCCATCATAGCTTACTATAACCTCAAACTCCTGGGCTCAAGCAGTTCTCTTGCCTCAGCCTCCTGAGCAGCTGGGACTACAGGACCACCCACCACACCCAGCTAATTAAAAAAAAAATTTTATAGAATTGTGGGGGAAGGCTTCTGCTTCAGCCTCCCAAAGCACTGAGATTACGGGTGTGAGCCACTGCACCTGACCAAAAATGGAGGTAGATGAATTCCAGATGACTTTGTGTTTTAAAGATGACTAAAATAAAATACTTTTGGATTGCTAAAATATTTTTTCTCTATTATGAAAGATTTGTATATTATGGAAAATTTGGTAACCACGGAAAAATCATTGGAAATGCTACCTGTTTCTTTACATACCAATACTTTCTTTTTTTTTGAGACAGAGTCTCACTCAGTTGCCAGGCTAAAGTGCAGTGGCACGATCTTGGCTCACTGCAACCTGCAACTCCATGGTTCAAGCCATTCTTCTGCCTCAGCCTCCTGAGTAGCTGGGATTAAAGGCATGCGCCACCACGCCGAGCTAATTTTTGTGTGTGTGTGTTTTTAGTAGAGACAGGGTTTCACCATGTTGGTCAGTCTGGTCTCAATCTCCGTTAACCTCATGATCCACCTGCCTTGGCCTCCCAAAGTGCTGGGATGGATTGCAGGCGTGAGCCACCGCGCCCAGCCTACACACCAATACTTTCATTGCATTTCCTGTTGTGCTCTAAGAATCATGTAATTTTAGAGATGGAAGCCATCAAGTCCAGTGTAAATATTGAGGACCAGAGAAGTGAAGTAGCTGTTCCAAGGTTATAGTTTCTAGCGTAGCTAGACTAGAAGCCAGGTCTCTTGAGAAGTTCAGGACTCTTGTGAGACAATTCACAAGGTCTTTTTTTTTTTTTTTTTTAAATTAAGCTTGTGATTTTGAGATAATTATAGATTTCACATGCAGTTGTAAGAAAGAATGCAGAGAAGTCCCCTGTACTCTACTCAGTCTCCTCCACTGGTTAACATTTTGTAGAAGTACAATTTAGTATGATTGAGATATTGTTAACATTGTTAGAGTCAAGATATAGAACATTTTGCCCGGCATAGTGGCTCATGCCTGTAATCCCAACACTTCGGGAGGCTAAGGTGGGTGGATCACTGGAAATCAGGAGTTTGAGACCAGCCTGGTGAACATGGTGAAACCCCGTCTTTACTAAAAATACAAAAATTAGCTGGGTGTGATGGCAGACACCTATAATCCCAGCTACTTGGGAGGCTGAGGCAGGAGAATCACTTGAACCTGGGAGGTGGAGGTTGTAGTGAGCCAAGATCATGCCACTGCACTCCAGCCTGAATGACAAGAGCAAGACTCTGTCTCAACAAAAAAGAGAACATTTTCATCACTGTAAGAATTTCTCCTTCTGCTACCCCTGAAGCTACACCTACTTCCCTCCTGCTCCCATCCTCTCCTTAACATCCTGGCAACCACTACTTCCCCTTTCTGTCATTTCAAGGATGTTATACAGATAGAATGACAGCAGTATGTAACCTTTTGCCATTGATGTTTTTTTCACTCAGCATATTCTTTACAGATTGACCTGGGTTGTTGTATGTATTAATAGTTCTCATTCTTTTTTATTGCTGGATAGTGTTCCAGGGTATGGATGTACCACAGTTTGTTTAACCGTACACCTGTTGAAGGATATTTGAGTTGTTTTTGGCTTTTGGCTCTTATGAATAAAGCTGCTATAATCAATCATGTACATATTTTTGTGTGAATATAAGTCTTCATTTCTCTGGGATAAATGCCCAGGAGTGCAATTGCTAGGTTGTATGGTGGTTGCATGTTTTGTTTCTTAAGAAACTGCCAAAACTGTTTTCCAGAGTAGCTATACCATTTTATACTTCTATCTTTGTTTTTAAATGTTAAGTCATTCTTACTGATTTTCAATAGTCCTAAATTTTCAAACTCAGTAAACCAAAAGCCTTTGAAGAAAAAGTTCTGAAAATGAGGAATAGAGTTGAATGAATTGGAATTTTTTCATTGGGTATTAGTATTTAACTTGATTCAATAAAATTCACTAAAAATCTTTAAGATTTAAAACACTGAAGTGTTTCACATGCAGTGCCTATTTCTGTTGTGCTGAAAATAGGTCAAGTGACTTTTTTAAGCTAACAATGTTATGATAATAATATTTGTGGATCATATAATCTCAGTTGTAAAGAGTAACAGTGATTTTCTCCATTTTTCAGTGCTAGTTAAAGGAATGATCTGGGTCTGTCAGCTTGTACCTGACAGGTAGTTGATATGTTTGCCATGTTAACACCCCTTAGACAGCCTTGGCCATGCCCTTGTCGGAGTAACAGCAGGGACCCCCGTGGTCTACTGTCCCAGATCAGCCACATCTCTTCATCACATCCAGATCTGTGTTCCCATACTGTTAAATAAAAAGTGTCACAAATCACTTCCAAAATGGAGAAAAGCACTAACCATCCATGAATCTTTAGATGAACCTAAATATAAAATGAACTGGAGGTATCACTGTTTCTTTTCTTTCTGTTGCTTTTTCCCCTTTTGCTATCTAAAAGTCTCTGTACCTCAGCTCTTTTTTGGTTTTCCTCCTTCATAATTTTCACATCATTCTTTTCTCTCATTTGTTTCTTCATCTTAGCATAGCACATTCCCCTAGCATCCACCCACACTTATTTCCCCCTCTCAGAACCACTCCTTTCAGGGACTTTCCCAGCCAGTGTCTTGTCACAGGAAATTTTGGAGCCATATTGCAGAATGAAGTATTGGAAAACCTTGTCTTTAGGTGACATTGATGGTGTGGCTATATGTAGATTAGCTTAGCATCTTATAGATTAATATGTATAAAATAATTATTAATGATAGAGCACCTGGCTTTTTAGAATCACAAGTTAAAAGATAGCACTTGGAAAGAAATTGTAATAGCAACGACGCTTGGGGCTGTTGCTTTCTCTTTCTCTACTCCATGTTTGTTTTTCCATCTTAGAAGCTGTATGGAAATTCTGACCAAACCCCTTTCCAATCATGAGAAAGTTGTCCGACCAGCCCTCGTCTACAGTCTCTTTCCCAACGTTCCCCCTACCATCTATTTTGGCACTCGGGATGAGAGAGGTAAACCTGGCCAAGTGTCAAAGCCCAGAAGAGTCCCTGGGAGAAGGATGCTAGCTAAGTTGGGAGGAGGTGGCAGAAGGTAGAAGAGGGTTTCCAGAATGGCTGTTGTGGCAGTTGTCACAATGTGCCCAGTTCCCGACCTGGTCTTAGGTCTAATGCAGCCTTTTTCTTGTCTATCCTTTAGCTGACCCTTCTCAGCCTTGCAACGTCACACTTAGTTCATGCTCTCCAACCTTGTTGCTTTTCCCTTTCAGTCTCCCCTTTCTTGATTCCTCATTCCTGCACAGCCCCTCTTCTTTCCCAAAGTGTGCTCCTCTGAAACACTGATTTGGAGCAATAGTTAGTGACTTGCCTGCCAAGGGAAAAATGGGTAGCCATGCCATCTTTTTTGTCTTCTCACCATGACTCTCTGCTCCTCTCCACCCCCCATCCCCACATCCTTTGCATTCTTCCCAGTGGAGAAACTTCCCTGGGAGCAGAGGAAGTTGCTCCGATGGAAGATGAGCACAGTGACCCCCAACATTGTCAAGCAGACCATTGGACGGTCCCACTTTAAAATCAGCAAAAGTGAGTTGCTTGCCTTACTGTGAGCTTGTCCTTTTTGCCCCAAATAGATGGGCTTTGCATAGGGGGAGCGTTCCAGACACCTTGTGCCTGTGTGGGGGCAGCTGGGGCCGTCTCCTGAAATCCAACCTCAGGGGAGGGAACAGCTCTGAAATCCTTCAGGGCTGAGCCTGTTGTTGAGAATTGAGACACAGAGGGCCATTGTTCTATCCCTAGCCCCAGGGCCTCATGTAGGACAGCTCCATAGCAACTCTTTGAAAATCAAGTCTGGGAGCTCTGCCCAGTTCAGGGGCTTCTGGGCCTCTCTGTGTCCCAGGACTGAGCTGTTAGCAAGGCTGATTCCCTGCTGTACCTCCTGTAGGAAACGATGACTGGCTGGGCTGCTGGGGTCACCACATGAAGTCTCCTAGTTTCCGATCCATTCGAGAGCATCAGAAGGTAGGCGCCCTTTCTGAGGAGCTGTTTCCCTGGACTTTGGACTAGGCCAAGAGGAGGGTGATGTTGTGGGTAGGGGTAGGGGGTGGGAAGAGGATGATGACCGTGGGGATGTCAGGAAGGTGTACAGAGGAGAAAGTACAGGACGGGGGTACAGTGAGAGACTCCAGTGGCTCATGAACATCTCCAGTTCAGCTGCAGTATCTTGGGCAGTTGTAGCTTCTCAAAGATGCTTTTTCCTCTGATGTGTTTTGAGTTGCATTGTCTGTTTTCTGTTTATTATGTTTCCCTATGACCACTGCACATTCCATTCCCCCAAGCTGAGTATGTGTAAAGAGGACTTCTGGTCTCATGTTGGAATGAATGAGTCCCTTGCCCCCAGACTTACTAAAGGCTAAATGCTTTCCTCTCCTCATTTTCTCATGCCATAGGCTTTCATAGAAAAAGATGTAATAGTTTTTTCTTTGCACTTAAGGTGAATAACTTGTCTGTCTTAGTCATTACTGTGTTTTGCCTGTGTTTTAATCACCTTTTGATGAGTGCTCCGCAGTTGGATACTTAAGGACCATTAGGGTAGTGATAGTAAGATGGAACAAAAGCTTGGAGTGCTGCTAAAGAAGCTGGAATGGTAGTGATTCTTGTCATCTTCCTCATGGCCTCACCTCTGCCCTCTTCCTGCACTCACCCTTTTCCCTTTTGTAGCTAAACCATTTCCCAGGCTCGTTCCAGATTGGGAGAAAGGACCGGCTATGGCGGAACCTGTCACGCATGCAGAGCCGCTTTGGCAAAAAGGAGTTCAGTTTCTTCCCCCAGTCCTTCATCCTGCCCCAGGATGCCAAGCTCCTGCGCAAAGCGTGGGAGAGCAGCAGCCGCCAAAAGTGGATTGTGAAGCCAGTGAGTGAATCACAGTTGCCAGGAGACTATGGTCTGTGAGTGGGAACAACAGAGCATTGGACCTGGAGCAAATCTCATCTCCTTTCTACTCCTAGCCAGCATCAGCCCGAGGCATTGGCATCCAGGTTATTCACAAGTGGAGTCAGCTCCCCAAGCGAAGACCCCTCCTGGTACAGAGGTGAGCCTGTAGCACATAGCCCTTAGCCCATCCTCCCACCTCCTTGGCCTCGAGGTCCCCTTTTTACAGTGTTCTTCTGCCCTTTGTTCTCCCAGCCAAAGAGCTTCCTTAGCTAACTGTTCTAAGCAGACCAGATAAAGATAAAAATAAAGACCATTCTAAGGTCTTTATCTTGGGGACCGTTAGCTAGCTTTTTCTGTGGCTTGGTTATCCACTGAGCCCCATAATCTGGCTGGATGAGAAGCTGGGCTTTGTCCTATGTAGGTATCTACACAAACCCTACCTCATCAGCGGCAGCAAGTTTGACCTGCGGATCTATGTTTACGTCACTTCCTATGATCCTTTGCGGATTTACCTCTTTTCAGATGGACTGGTCCGCTTTGCCAGTTGCAAGTATGTTACAGTGGTGAGGTATCCTCTGACAATATTGGGGATTTTATTTTCCTCGGAGGGAGGAAACTAGAGGGCATCAAACAGAAAAAATAACAAATGTTTTGATAGTTTTTTGTTAGCAAGGGGGAAGGCAGGAAATGGGAAATAAGGAGGCTCTCTGCTTCATGAAATCAGGGGAGGATCTTCCTGCATGCAGGACTGAGGTGGGAAAAAGGAGATGAGTTTAGCTGTGGTTTTTCAGAACTTTGCCAATAGACAGACACACTTCTCAGGCCCTTGTGGCTATGAAAAGATCACTTGTTCTTCACCTCTTCAGGATTTGGGAAAATGTTTGGCCTCTTCTCTGTCTGCTCTGTCATCATCTTACCCCTGCCTTTTGTTTCCTTACTTCCAGGTATTCCCCTTCCATGAAGAGTCTTGGCAATAAGTTCATGCACCTGACCAACTACAGTGTCAATAAAAAGAATGCCGAGTACCAGGCCAATGCAGATGAAATGGCTTGCCAGGGCCACAAATGGTACTGAGGACAGAGTGTCCCAGTCCCGTGAAGGCCTAGAGGAGTACAGGGTTCTAGGATTTTGGGCGTTTCAGGGGCATGGTGAATGGAGGATTAATATAAGACCCAGAGATTATATAAACACTTACCAATTCAGAATTGGTCTATTTAAGGCTGGGCGTGGTGGCTTATGCCTGTAATCCTAGCACTTTGGGAGGCCAAGGTAGGTGGATCACCTGAGGTCAGGGTTTTGAGACCAGCCTGGTCAACGTGGCGAAACCGTGTCTCTACTAAAAATAACAAAAATTAACCAGATGTGGTTGCAGGCACCTATAATCCCAATTCCTTGGAAGGCTGAGGCAGGAGAATCACTTGAACCCGGGGAGTGGAGGTTGCAGTGAGCTGAGATCACGTCACTTCACTCCAGCCTGGGTGAAAGAGTGAAACTCTGACTCAAAACAAAAAGTTGGTCTATTTGCATTCAAGTTCATCTCTTTCATAATTGAAAGTGGCAAAGGAAGAGATAGATATAAAGAAAATACCTTTAGGTCTCTTGTTCCTTTCTCTTTGTCTTTGTCACTCATTCCTAGAATATAATTCCTAATACTTCCTCTTTCTCCATCTACAGGGCACTGAAGGCTTTGTGGAACTACCTGAGCCAGAAGGGAGTCAATAGCGATGCCATCTGGGAGAAGATAAAAGATGTTGTTGTCAAAACCATCATCTCGTGAGTCACATTGCCAACCTGGCTGTGGGGCCTGCTGCTGACCCCCCTCCTTTCTCCTGGGCCTCACACTGCTGTGCTCTGGACTTTGGCCATGCTGTGGTTTGGTTTTAAGGAAAGGGAATAGGAAGGAATAGCTAGAGTTGAGTTCTCATCTACTGAACTTCATCCCCAGGAGCTGGTCTCAGATCAGATGCGTCTCTTGAGAGCTGCCTTTCCTGGGTGGCTTCTGCCTGCCTATCTCTGGGCCACTCTTTTGGCAGGAGAGCTCTTGGTAGAGTCCCCTGGGAGCTGAAATGAGTACTTCCTCATCCCCATGACCAGGTCAGAGCCCTACGTGACCAGCCTGCTCAAGATGTATGTGCGGCGGCCCTATAGCTGCCATGAACTATTTGGTTTTGACATCATGCTAGACGAAAACCTCAAGCCCTGGGTCCTGGAAGTCAACATTTCCCCAAGGTAGGTGATATTCTCAGGACACTCATGATAGAATCCTTCCATTTAGATAGAATCCTCATGCTCCCATTGCCACTCCAGTAAGTTGTTCTTTTTAATGGATCCTTACCGCTGGCTTTCCTTTAGCAGATCAAGGTCATGGGCAGGTTAACCACCCTGAGTCAGGTTATTCACTGTTCTGGGGGCAAGAGACTCTTGTGATGGTGATCCTGCACTGGGATGTTTGAGCAGCCTTCATCCTAGGGAAGCCAGGAAGTAAATGAGGCCAGCCCTGAGTTGCACATATGACCAGAGACTGTTTCGGAGTGCTGCCTTGACCACTCTTTTTATCCTTTTTCTGAAGTCTCCACTCCAGCTCTCCACTGGATATCAGCATCAAAGGCCAGATGATTCGTGACCTTCTGAACCTGGCCGGTTTTGTCCTGCCCAATGCAGAGGATGTCATTTCTAGCCCCAGCAGCTGCAGCAGCTCCACCACCAGGTTAGGCCCTTGTTTCTTCGCAGCTCTGTTGGCAGCATGAATAGCCCTGCTGTAATTTCTGGGTTCTGGGTGCTCCCTCCTGCCTGGTTCTCCTTGCTGCTCAATCTTGCCCCTATAGTCCACTCACATGCTACTTACTGCACCACACCATTGCCTCTTAAGTATGTTCAGTTATGTCGATCCCCTGCTCAGGAACCACAGGCCTAGGAATCACATTTAAACATCTTAGGCACTGTGTTGTATCTAGTCTCAGCTACTTGGGAGACTGAAGCAGGGGGGATCTCTTAAGGCCAGATGTTCAAAGCTGTAGTGCACTATGATGATCAGGCCTGGGAATAGCCACTGTACTCTATCTAGCCTGGGCAATACAGCAAGAAAAAAAAAAACAATAACTCCTTACCAGGACAGTCAGGGTCCCAGCTTCCTATTTCTTGGTGTATCTCTGTCTTCTTTCTCCCCGGCTCCTGTGCCCTGACAAACTGCATCACTCATGCAACCTCTAGGTCGGAATGATCCTTAAAGACAGTTAGTCCAGTCTCCTCTCTGAAATGTTCGTTGCCTCTTGCTGTTCCCCATAGTGTTTGTTCCTTTCCTTATGGGGGTTTTTTCCTCCTGAAATGCCCCACCGCCAGTCCTGCCATTAACTTTACCTGTTCATCAAAGTCTTGTTCATACATTTTCATGAAGCCAGCTCAGTATGGCCTTTTTTTCCCTCCATACCACAAAGCATTTGGAACCACTCTTGAGAGGAGGGAGTTTATATTAAGTTAGTACCTGAGATGTGTGAGGAAAACCCTGTAACTTATCCTTCCAATAACCCTGTAAAGTTAGTATTCATATCTGCAGTTTACAGAGGAGGAAACGGAAGTTCTCTGGGATTAAGTAGTCCATCAAGGTCATTCAATTAGAGAGTACTAGGACTGGAATTCAAATCTTTACTTGCCTGATAACAAAACTTGCTTTCCCCACTGTACCTTGTAGACTCATGTTTGGCTATGTCCAGTGGTTATCATTTGACATATCCCACCTGCCATACCGTAAGCTCCTTGAAGGCAGGGGTTGATTTTTAGTCATCTTTATTTTGGTATTACTAATTTTTTAGAGACGGAGTCTCACTGTGTTGCCCAGGCTGGCTTTGAACACCTGGGCTCAAGTGATCCTCATACCTCAGCCTCCCAGGTAGCTGGGATGACTAATGTGCCCCACCGTGCTGGGCTCCAGTCATCTTTGTATCTCTGTCAACAGTGATTATGGTAATTGTAGTAACGTGGGTGATGAAACTGGGATGAGGGGAGGTTGAGTCAGTTGCCCAGGGTCACACAGCCAGTAGGGCAGAGCTGGGTATATAGTTAAGTGTTCAGTAAATTAAACTAAACTGAAATATATACCACAATAAGGCTTATTGCAAGGTCCTCATTTTTTATCATTCAAATTCATTCTAAAGATGGTGGTTTATACTCTTTCACTTAATATTTGATGACTCTCAGACAGGTTACTTCTGGGAAGTGCATTTTAGTCCGACCTACTACTTAAGTAGCCTCTGTTCATACATCTTTGTCTTCCCTTGAGAAGGGTGTCTGCTGGGCTGGACCTTCTCCATATTTGCTCCAAATGCAAAGTTGCTGACCCTGCCCTTTGCTTTCTTTCCGGCCTCTGCTGTAGCCTGCCCACCTCCCCCGGGGACAAATGTCGAATGGCTCCAGAGCATTTCACTGCACAGAAGATGAAGAAAGCCTATTTTCTGACCCAGAAAATTCCTGATGAGGTAGGAGATTGGTCTTCCTCCCAATGCTAGCAGAAAACTTCCCTGGTCAAACATTTAGGACCCAAAAGCAACCAAGTTTTCTTTAGAGGAGGGTTTCTTCATTCAGGCCTGTGATCTTCTGATATGCGGAGATTTGTTGGCATAGCTGGTTGTCTTTAGCATGTTTTCTGGTCCTCTCATCCCAACTGTAGACTTTTACCATTTGGGTTTCTTTCTCTGAGAAGTACAATGAGAGACCCCAGGAAGCTGACTTTCTCAGAGCAGGTAAGGGAGCCGGATTTAAGCTTGGCAGATAGAAGACTGGTGCCAAGTCTGAATTGCTGGATCCTCATCTTGACTTTATTCAATAACTACTTAACGTCTCAGCTCCAGTGGCTCCCTCGACCCCAAACAAGAGTGTCTTCTCCCACTATCTAAGTTCAGTAGACTTAGGAACAGATGGCGTTCAGAGCTGGCCCACTAGGCTACCCTCGGGAGTTCCAGGAGCGTCCTGGAGCGGTAGGACCCCAGGGGTGTGCTCCCTGTCCCCCAGCTTCTTGATTCCCTGCCCCTGGCTTACACTCTCTGTCGCACCCTTTGCCTCTCTGTTCCTTGGACCACAGGACTTCTATGCATCTGTGCTGGATGTCCTGACACCAGACGATGTTCGGATTCTGGTTGAGATGGAAGATGAGTTTTCTCGCCGTGGTCAGTTTGAACGAATTTTTCCTTCTCATGTCTCCTCTCGTTATCTCCGCTTTTTTGAGCAGCCACGATATTTCAACATTCTCACCACCCAATGGGAACAGAAATACCATGGCAACAAGCTCAAAGGTGATGTGCCCTCCCTGCCCTCAGAAAGCCATATTTAGTGAGGGATTAAATCCCAATATACCAAGAAATGGGCCTCTTTGGAAAGAAGAGTTGGCCAATTGATTCTACCTTCTTAAGCCCCAACTCCTGCTAATCTTGTCCTAGGAGTAGATCTGCTCCGGAGTTGGTGCTACAAAGGGTTCCACATGGGAGTTGTCTCTGATTCTGCTCCAGTGGTGAGTGCTGCCAGTGTCGAGGACAGCTCCTTCTCAGGCCCCTCCCTCCTCTGCCTTAGAGTGCAGCAGGAGTTGGCTTGTATGTACAGGCCTCTCTCACTTCTCTGCCAGGCTCTGCCTCTGTCTCACCACTCTTTCCTTTCAAGGGAATAGGTGCCTTCAGGATTCCTTGGGTACCTTTCTTTCAAGGATTAAAAAGTGCTTTATCGGCCTCAGCTTGTCTGATTCAGAAGAGAACTGAGACTTTTACCCACCTGGGCCCATGTCTGAGGGGTAGGGAAGAGGAGAGCCCCTTAGATCACTTAGAGGGTCCCAAGACCCCAAACACTTCTGCCTTGCCTCCACCAAGCCCTTTTGGTCTCATTGCTTCCTTTGCTCTTAGTGGTCTCTCCCGACATCACTTCCAACTGTCTCAAAGGATGACGTGATACTCAATGCCTTCAGCAAATCAGAGACTAGCAAGCTGGGGTGAGTGCTGCCCGAGCAAGGGAAGGGCTGCTGGCTGTGAGTTTGGAGGGTTTTCTTCCTTCCTCTCTTCCCAGACTGTGGCAGTGAAATCAGCATTCTCCAGCTGGGGGTTGGTGGGAGTGTCAGGACATTCGTCCTTTTTCTGGTAGCTCTTGGGATGCCCAGTGAAGCTGAGCTGGAGGAGAGAAGCGCCTCTGGAAGCAGCCATTGTCAGCCATACCCACTCGCTGTGGGAAGTCGCTAGCCCTCTACCCGCACCCCCATTTACTCAAGTAAATAGAATGTTTCGCGTGGTTATTACCTATCCATGTAATTATGGCCTCTGACACCATAATGTGAATGCCTGCTCCATACTCTGAAGCAAATCCTAAGGTAAAGTCTCAGTTAAACAGTGTCTCAGCCATTTCTTTCCCCACCTGTTCCCTCCAGAAAACACAGCTCCTGCACAGGAAGTCTGCTACTCACTGAAGATGGGACCACACCCAAGTCCAAGAAGACCCAAGCTGGCCTTTCCCTTTATCCCCAGAAACCAAGTTCCTCAAAGGACAGTGAGGACACCAGCAAAGAGCCCAGCCTTTCCACCCAGGCGTTACCTGTGATCAACTACTCTGGGCGGACTTCAAGACTTGCTGCTCCTTCCACTTTCCAGTCAGGCAGTGACTCCCTCCTGGCTGTGAGCCCATAATTGGCCTCTCTCCACAAGCCTCTGCCCAGGAGTATGGGCATCAGCTACCTCACAGGAACCGGCCTGCTGACCAGCCTGAACCCCTTCCCGCTTCACCCTGTCCCTCCTCAGAGTATTTTTTGAAGTGATTGCATTATAGAGATGAGTATGTGTAGGACCAGAGGGATGGTGGTGATGGGGAGAAGGTGAGGAAGGGCCACCCTCTGTCACCTGTCCGCCTGGCTGGCACCTCCTATCTCAGCAGAGAAGCCAGTGATGGCCACGCAGCCTTATAAAGCAGGTTTTGGTTTCTACCTTAAGTGAGCCATGTGGTTTGTTTGGGGCCTTGGTGCAGTTGCTGAGTTGTAGCTCAAGAGGAGAAAACATAGAGAACATGTATGGGCCAGAAGTCCTTTGTTCTGAATTGGAGGGGGCCTTCTGAGACCCTCATTTCCTTAGATCTTCCCTCCCCCTCTCCCACCCCCTGTCCCGAGGAGAAAGCGTCGACCTTCTGCAGTGGACAGGCGAAGAGGCCGCAGCGTGCTGAACCCATTTCCTGTCACCTCGGTCTTGGATCCTAGCCACCCAAGACTAGGATCTTGGCCTACAAAGGCCCAAGATGCCTATTCGAAGGCATCTTCACCGCCTCCTTCCAAATACTCACCTTGCCAGCAGCCCTAGGTCTTCCTGTTCTGTCCCCCCATCACTGCTCGTTCAGCCTTCTGACGTCTCTCGTGGACAGCTCCTCTTTAGCTGTGATGTGTAAGAGGGTCTGTGACCTTTGTGAGTTTCCCATGGCCCCAGTGAAGGAGCCCAGATAATCCCAGTAGCTGTTACCTGTCTCCCTGTATTAAAGGACAGTCCAGGGAGAGGGCGGAAGGGGATGAGGTTTCTCTACAATCCAACAAACGTGGTTTCTCATGTTCTGCCCTACAGCAAGCAGGGTCTGGTGGCTTGGCAGGTGGGTTTCAGGAGCAGTCACTATTGTGGGATGGGCTTCCAATGAGACTTCAGACTAAACTCTTGTACTCAACTGATTCTACCTCCCTCCTGTAGACTCAGTAAACAGTGAATATTCAGTAAATGTTGACTGAGTGAACTGTATTTACAGAGATCTCAAAGGACCCCCAGCACTTGAACCAGAAGTTCCACTTCTCTCTCATCTGGGGATGAGAAAGTGGAGCCTTGGGGCAGAACAGGTGGAAGAGTTTGAATCAGAAAGGTTTTCTCTGGAGCTGTGCTCCTTCCTAACCCAGCACTTCCTGGGTTGCTGCTTGCCTCCACCCCAGCCCCTGCAGTCCCTTTTCTTAGTTTTTTCCAGCAGTGGCACATATAAGAAGCCAAATGGTCCCATGTCCCTGCTACTCAGGTTTTCTCTTTGCATATCAGGCAGAAAGCTCAGCTACTTGGTCTCACCCTGTACCGTAGCTGCCCTTGTTCTCTCTGAGCTTTGGAAAGATAGAGACTCCCGTGTTTCATGGCTCTGGGAGCTCTGTGGCAAGTTGGGGTGGAGTCCTGGAAAGATCACTGAGAGGCCTGACTGGGTTCAAGGCCACAGAGTAGGTGGTGTCTGGCCAGTCCTAAGGCCATGTTGACAGTTGTGAAGAAAGTTTGGTGGCAAAGTCCTGGGCATCATTGTCTGCTCTATAATGACTTTAAAGTCGGGCCATAATGGGAGAGGTCCTTGATAGTCGTCCTATTGGATCTTTTCTGATGTAATTGAAGCGGCCCAGCTCTTCAGTCCTCTGGCTGCAATATTCTAGTGCAGATATGACACAGGGTATCTGCTGCCTTCCTAAGAGAAAATGAGCCACCTGCCTGGCAGCTTTGTTGTGGCTGGGCCTTCTCCACAAGGACTTAGGCATGGAGGCGTGTTTGAGCTGGTTTACTTCATAAAAACCAACTTCTTTGGCTTGCCCTCTGAGAATCTTGTACAACGTAGCCAATCTATTTCCATTCCCATAACTGGAGAGGGAACCAGTTGCTGAATGAGGGTATTGAGTAAAGTTTGGTGGGGGAAGGGAGAAGGACTTAGGAAATGAAGTCCTTATGATCAATGAAAGTCTTAAATGTGCAATGGAAAGACAGTGCTCTTAGTAGTTTAAAACATGTTTGTACATCAATAAATTGTCATCACATTTGAGTATCTGATAGATGTGGGAGTTTTGCTGGGTAGGAGAAAGGAATGGGACTTACTGTATCACATTTACCTTTCATTCTTTTTTATATAGAGACGGGGTTTCACCTTGTTAGCCAGGATGGTCTTGATCTCCTGACCTCGTGATCCGCCCACCTCTGTCTCCCAAAGTGCTGGAATTACAGGCGTGAGCCACCGTGCCTGGCCACCTTTCACTCTTGAGAGAAAATTAAATCTTATTAAGCATTCGGCATATGTACGTTTGCATTGAATACCCGCCATTGTGAGGTATTCAGCTAGGTAGGCGTTTTCGAGAAGGAATGAGATTTTTTTGGAAAGTTAAATTTGGGTGTATAGTAGAATAAATGTTTGTCAGAGCATGTCAAATGCTTTCCTAAGTTGATAACTTACCTACTCTATTTGGAGGAAGGGAAGCGAGTGTCCTGAGACAAGGAATGAAGTGCAGGATATTTCTAGAGTAGTGGAGTAAGGTCTTGGGGTGGAAAGTGGAGGAGGGCAGTCACTGCTGACTTCACATCCACTTAAGAATGCTGAAAAACTCAGTTGCTTAGAACAAATACTAATGATGAGAGAGCATTGTGTCAGGAAGGATAGGAACCTTGAATCAGGCCGACCTTGGGTTTAAATCCCAGTTCTGCCACTTACTGTGTGACCTTGGGTGTGTCATCTAACTTTTAAGTCTCCATTTCTTTGTAGTGTGAATATAATACCAACATTGCAGGGTTGTGAAGGTTTAAACCAAATGTAGTAAAAGTACTTAGGACATAGAGGGCACTTTGCAAGGTCACACCTTCCTCCACTTGCTGTCTAAGCCTTGAGCCCTCGGTGGGAAGAGACAGGCAAGAAATATAAAACCCTTTCCTCCAGGAAGTGGAGCTGCCATTGAGATGTTTTAGAAGTGAAGAAGCCATAACAGTCTAGATAGCTCATGGCCCTCACCCTCACCCCAGTGCACACACAAACATCATCGTTATTCAGCCTCCTATTATGTTATTACTCTACTGGGGATTTATTTCTTTGGCTAAACACTTTACAGGCAGAGCACAGATCCCTGAGAAAGAAAGCACAGTAAGCATTAGAAGTATGTGAACTGAGTGAGATTATTAAATTATTTCAAGAGCAGCTTTGATAAGAAAGGGAGAGCAAGCACAGTGGGTGTCAGGTGTCTGGACAGGGGAGGAGCAGGGTACAGAAAGTAAGAGACCCTGATTGGAACTGGAGCCAAAGAGGAAATACATAGACCTAACAGCTGTACCAAGGGGCAGTTGTCATTACAGGTACATTTTCTTGGTGTCAGGCTGTTTGGCTGAGGGTGACTATCCCCCCCCACCCCCCAGTCAAAGGACATACGTGATGGCTTCTGGGACAATCCAGCACTGCTGAGGGCCAGTGAAGGAGACTGATCATCTGGATACAAAGACCTTTCTACTTCCTCCTCAGCTGAATTAGTTACCCAAGATAGGTGACCAACAAAGGCAGCCAGGGGATCTCCTCTCCTGGCCTCCCCTTGATTTGTAAGATTAAGGCCTACCTCTGATTGCTGTTCAGATCCCCCAGCTGCTTTGAGACTTGGAAACACTGATGGTTTTCAGATGGCTAAGGGAGCTCCATTTCATGCCACCTGAGATTATAACCAAGCCTTTTCCAACCTTTCTTGGCCTTTTAGAGTCCCCCTGTAGCAGAGTTTGCACGCTGATTAATATCCAGGTATCTATACCATCTCATTTGGCTTGCCCCTTCACTAAATTTGGATCAGTGAAAGTTGCAAACAGTCATATGTTGCTCTTGGCAGATGTTTCACAGGTGAAAGAACACAAGGAGGGTCAATAGCAGGTGGTGGTTTTCTAGAACCCATCTGTGTCGTAATTACAACAGACTGAGATACATGGAATGCCAGGGACTGCCACAGGCAAAGCTAACAAAATTTTGAGAAGATATTTAAGTTTCAATTAGTAAACTGGGGACACCAAAGCCTACCTCATAGAATGGGGTTTCATATGGGACTAGAATATGGGCGGAAAGCACCTAGCAAGGTGCCTGATAATGTATGATACAGATTTAAAATAGTGGATTCTAAAACTGACCAAAACTACCACAAAAAGCATTTAAAGTAAAAGTACTTTAACATGCAACAGTATTACAATACGATTACAATAGCATGTTAATATTACAAAACTATGGTAAAATATACTTTGATTTTATCCATGAATTAAAGCTGAGGATGTATTGAGATAATTAGCTTAGATAGATTAAAGCACATATCAGTAGTCAGAGAAGAGCAATTTAAACTGCAAGATACCACTTAACACCAAAGTGGCTCAAATTTAAGACTGAAAATGCCAAGTGTCAGTATGATACTGAGATACTGTGAAGCCGCTGATGGGAATGCCAAATGGTGCACTGGAAAGCAGCTTGGTAGTTTCTTATAAAGTGAAACATGTCGTTAACATAGGACCTAGCACTTCCACTCTGGCAGGCAAATGTTCATAGTAGCTTATTCATAGTAGCCAAAGCTTAGAAACAACTGTATGTCCAAGAATTAGTGAATTAACGAACTGTGGTATCTCTGTTCAATGGAATGCTCTTAGATATGAAAAAGGAAAAGAGTTTGGGTGCTGTGGCTCACACCTGTAATCCCAGCACTTTGCGAAGCCAAGGCAGGAGGATCACTTGAGCCCAGGAATTCAAGACCAGCCTGGGCCAACACACTAGGACCCTGTTTCTACAAAACAAATAAATACAAATAAAAAAGGAATGAATTGATTCATGTAACACCATGCATGAATCTAAGCATATTCCTAAGCAAGAAGAAGCCAGAAACAGAAGACATGCTTTATTATTCCATAATCCAGAAAATGCAAACTATAGTCACAGAAAGCAGGTGAGTGCTTCCATGGACTATAGATGAGGAAGGGGTAGACTGTAAAGGGCACGGTGGGAAGATTCTGTATCTTGATTGTGGTGGTGGACACATGACTATGTACATTTGCTGGAACTCATCAAATTGTGCACTTAGAATGGGGGAGTAGTATTGTACGTAAGTAAATAAAGCTGATTTAAAAAGACCAGGAGATGCCATTTCATGAGGTATGTGCTAATTAAAACCACAATGAGATAACAATAGAATAGTTAAAAGGGCAGCCAAGACCAAGTGTTGGTGAGAATGTACAGCAGTTGGGCCTTTTATACATGGCTGGCACGAGTGTAAAATGGTTCAACCACCGTAGAACACTAACAGTTTCTTAGAAAGCTAACATATATCTACCGATGACTCAGAAATTCCACTCCTTGGTATTCTCTTAAAAAGGTGGAGAAAAAGGAAATCGCATGTTTACCAGAAATGTTTATTGAGGCTTCATTCATAAAAAAAATTGAGAATAATTCAAATGTTTCTCAATACGAGATCAGATAAACTGGTGTGGAATACCACCCAATAAAAAGGAACATCCAGCAATACGTTAGAAGGAAGAAAAGAAAAAATAAAAAGGAACAAACTAATGTATGATCTCAAAAGCATTGAGTGAAAGAAGCCAGACACAAAAAGAATACATACTGTGTAATTAAGTTGGTATGATGCTTAGGAACATGAAACTAACCTATGGGAACAAGTCAGAACAATAATTGCCTCTGGGCATTAATAGTAAAGTAAGAAAAGAGGCACAAGGCAACTTTTGGAGGTGATGGAAGTGCTCTGATTCTTGCGATGGATTTGTAGGAGCTCAAGGAATTGCACATTTAAGCCCCAAATTAAGTTGTTGACAGGGCTGGTTCCTTCTGAGGGCTGTGAGAGAGAATCTGTTTCAGGCTCCTCTCTAAGCTTCAGGTTGGCTGCCGGCAGTCTTCTCCGTTCCTTGGCTTGTACAGACATCACCCAGTCTCTGCCTTCGTGTTCACATGGCGTTCTCCATGTGTATATTTCTACAATTTTTCCTTTTTATAAGGGCACTAGTCACATTGAAATAGGAGCCCACTCTACTCTAGTATGACCGCACCTTTACTAATTATATCTACAATGACCTTATTCCCAAATAATGTCACATTCTGAGGTGTTGGGGGTCAGCACTTCAGCATATGAATTTATGGGAGAAGGGGTGGGGCACCACAGATTATAATTCCTATAGTGGAGTTCCCAGCTTGGATCAACTACTAATAACACTATGGCAGCCGGGCACAGTGGCTCACGCCTGTAATTCCAGCACTTTGGGAGGCTGAGGGGGGTTGATCACCTGAGATCAGGAGTTGGAGACCAGCCTGGCCAACATGGTGCAACCCTGTTTCTACTAAAAATACAAAAATTCGTTGGTCATGGTGGTGGGCATCTATAATCCCAGCTACTCAGGAGACTGAGTAAGGAAAATCGCTTGAACATGGGAGATGGAGGTTGCAGTGAGCCGAGACCATACCGTTGCACTCCAGCCTGGACAACAAGAGCAAAACTGTCTCAGAATAAATAAAAACTAATGCTATGGTGGTGGCATTATCAGTCTTGTGTGCAGCCCTCTGGATTAATCATGATAACTGTTGGAATGCCTGGTATGTTTAGAATTGGAAAGACTGTTCAGTTGACATCCCAAGTCTGGATGCTCTTTGGCAGAGGAAAATAAATTTTAAGACACATCCCTCTTGTTGAGAAACTGACTCAAAGTCAGGATTCAAGAGCTTGGTAAGTGCCAGATATCTCAACAATAATGCCTGAGATATATCACTAAGTCCACTTGCCTCTACCAGAAGATTAAAGGCCCAAATCCCTGGAGATAAAGTAACTTTTTTCCAAGTCCATCTCTTTCCTAGACAAATGACCTTTCTAAGGAGCTGTGATTAACACATCAGAATCTTTGGCACTAAGAATTTCTCATCATGGGCTGGGCATGGTGGCTCACACCTATAATCCCAACTCCTGGGAGACAAAAATGGATCATTTGAGGCCAGGAATTTGAAACCAGCCTGGGTAACATAGTGAGACCCTGTATCTATAAAAAAATTTTAAAAATTAGTCTGGCATGGTGGCAACATGCCTGTAGTCCCTGCTACTCAGGGGGCTGAAGTGGAAAGATCCCTTGGGCCCAGGAGTTCAAGGCTGCCAGGAGATCGGTCCACTGCTTTCCAGGCTGGACAACTGCAAGACCCTGTCAAAAAAAAAAAAAAAAAAAAATCTCATGATCTATTTCAGAAGAGAAATCCTAGTCACTGGGACAGGTTTTATACATATTTTATTAAATAACTGCATTTCCTCTACAGTGGGTGCTGGAACAAAACAATAACTACCATTTATTGAGTATTATTCATGCACTGTTCTCATTGTAGACATACACAAAAAACCCTTCAATGTTGGTATTATTATCCCTATTTTACAGATTAAGAAAATGAGGTTTAAAAGGGTTAGATGACATGTCCAAGGTTACTGTATGAATTAACAAATCCATCTACCGCCCTATTTCCTAATACTTTGTAGAAGTTGCTGGCTTCAAAATCAATGGGAAAGCCTGGGCTGAAGGAAGGAGGGAATACAAAGCTTGAAAAAGAGACAAAAATACTGAGATTGAAAAATGTGATGATGAATTAGCCAGGTGAGCAAGGGCACCCTGACAGTTCATAACAGTTCAATTTCATAATTATAAAGTTACAATTTTTTTTTTAAGCGACAAGGTCTTGCTTTGACACTCAGGCTGGAGTGCAGTGGTGTGGTTACAGCTCACCGCAGTCACAAACTCCTTGGCCCAGGTGATCCTTCCACCTCAACCTCCTGAGTAGCTGGGACTACAGGTTTGTACCACCACACCCAGCTCTGCCCTTGGTTTTATTCTTAACCTCTCATTTGCTCTAGCGAGTACACTTAACCATGGGTCCAGCCAACCCTCTACCACACAACAAACTTGGAGAGGGGAGAATCTTAAGGGTATATGTTATATGCACAGTTAGGAACATGGATACAGAATCCAGCTTTACATGATGGAATGCCATGCCTAAATTCTTACTCCTAGCTCCATTTGCCACCTAATACCTATCTACTTCAGCTCTGGGCTGATCTTAGTCTTTTTCCTTCTCCCCTCCCCTCCTCTGCTCTCCCCTCCCCTCCTCTGCTCTCCCC